CCCTTTTCATTTCATTTCCATTTCCGCTCCTTGGGAATCCACTCTATCTATTGCTAAATTCTAAATATAATCATTTGGAAGAAAGGAGTTATTTAACCAAAGTTTTCCTTGTATTGTTTCATTTGTAGGCAGCTCCCTCCCTCATACTTTTCCCCTTTAATCTTTCTGTTCTCCCTGGCCTGGCCCTTTGTCCTCTACTCCAGCTTCTTGGAGCTTCAGGTTCCTTAAGATGCTAATCACACCCGGTTTTCTTCTCATGCCAAGAATATTTCTATTTATCAAGCCTCAGCAGGCTTTGCCTTTGGGAGGGACACATACAAGGGCAGGAACACATTCCATTCCTTGGAGCTGTTTCTCTTTTACCTTTCTCATTTCAATTCCAGGTTGTGGGTTTTGTTTTGTTTTGTTTTGTTTTTTCAGTTCCTCTTTATGTCTTGCACTGCTTTCTGAATCCTGAATCCATGTGTTACCTTGGCACCCATCTCCCCTCAGTATGGAGTGCACACCCACTCTAGCCCTGATTTGTGGCAGAATTTTTGACCTGTTAATTAGAAAGGAGATGCAGGCTTATTTAAACTAAAAAATCAGATGAGTTGCCATTGAGTTGATTCTGCCTCATGGTGACTGCATGTGTTGCACCGTAGAACTGCCCTCCATAGGGTCTTTGTGGCTGTAATCTTTTGGAAGCAGATCTTTAGGCCTTTCTTCCAAGGTGCTTCTGGGTGGGTTTGAACAGCCAACCTCTGGGTTAATAACGGAGCAAGTACTTGACTGTACTACCTAGAGATTCCCTAAACCCATCCAAGCGGTATCATTAAAATGCTTGAATTTCCTCTGCCTTCACAGGGTTTCCATAGAAGTAGACATAAAACAAGAATCCCCCTGCAAATATTTTATTCAGGAGGGGGAGGGAACACCAATAGGAGAGGAGGGGAGTGAGACAGGAAAGAGAAGGCAGCCAATGAAAGATGAGTTGTTAAGCCCATTGCCACCTTGGACAACTGGAGTCTATTCCCACAGGGAACTCTGGGCAAGGTGTACTCATTGGAAAAGTGAGGAAACTAGGATATTTCCTAGTTGAAGGCTTCTTCTGGTGTTGTTAATTCATCAGCATTAGAAGACTGCCTTGTGCAGAACAGAGTGTCCATCCCCAGCTTTGGAGAAAGTCCTCAGGCAAAGAAACACAGACAAGGTAGGACTAGGGTGAAGGAAGTGGGATGCCTAGGACACACAATTTAAGGAAGCACTCAGTCTCAGGGTCATACAAGTGTGGGATCACCACTTGAGAGTGAATGCTTCCTTTAATGTTGTGCCCTAGATGCTTCACTCTCCTTCCACTGGGTGTTGCTGCACTAAGAAATGGTGAGGTCAAGGCATGTGGGTCAGACACCGACAGAATCTTTGGCACCCCCAGTGCCAGAGTTAAATCCCCTTTGTTACTTGTCCTTGCTGCCTGAAATGCTGCCTCCTTATAGCAGCTCTCAGAGAGGCTAGGTTTCTTTCTTTCTTCTCTTCTTCCTGTATCCTGTCTGCCTTCTATCTTCTTTCAGGTTTGATAACTCTTCCTAACTAGAATACCATCATTCCATATGTCACCTTTTTTTTTCTTCCGTATGTCATCTTGATTGGCCTTTTCTTCATCCATCCTTCGTAGTATTCTGTACCTTCTTTGGGAAGCAAAAAGATAGAGACTCACTGCTGAAGCCTCTCAGGGTCTTGTGGAGAAGAAAGAAAAGCCAGGGCTTTCCCAAAGTCAATCCGTATTGACTGAACCCCAACCATATGCCAGGTTTGAGGAACAAGAGTGCTGATAGTCATGGTCCTGTTATCATGGGTCATCTATTCTAGTGAGGAAGACACACAATGACAGGAAATCATCCAAAGGCCTTTCAAGTCACAACCATGATAAGGACACCTTACAACAGCTACAATAAAAATATCCCTAGAAAGAAGACATTGCTATGCTCATTGTACAGAGAGGAGACTAAGGCTAAGAGTGATCAGTCAAGGTCACAGCCTAAAATTTAGTCGGCCCTATCTGAACTCCTGGGAGCTCTGGTAGCATAGTGCCTAAGGCACTTGACTGCTAAGCAGAAGGCTGGCGGTTCAAACCCACCAGCCACTCCTTAGAAGGAAGATGGGGCAATCTACCTCCATAGTGATACTGCCTCAGAAACCCAAGGAGGGGTCGCTATGAGTCGAGTCTGACTGGATGGCACATAACAACAACAACAATCTGAACTCCACTCCCTGTCTATCAGTTTGTGAAATCTTAAGCATCACAGCAGAATGTCATCTGATGTAGGACTGGGAGATAAGCCCCCTAGGTTAGAAGTCATTATATAATAGCCACAGAATGGATTCATACCAACATAACAACAGTCAGAAAGATGGTGAAGAACTGGGTAATGTTTCATTCTGTTATACAGAAGGTCACCATGAATCAGAGTCAATTCTATGACAACTAACGATAACCATCTAAACTCACAAGCTGATAGGAAGAACAGACACGTGACCATGTATTTTAAGGAACAGCATGCATGGTGCTTGAGCAGAAGGTACTAGGGAGTCAGAGAGTTGCCACCTGTGGCTTGAGTGGGTGTTCTCTGGGATCAAGGACTGTGTCTCCAATGCTCACCACAAGGTTCAGCTTAGAAGAGGCTCACACATCATAGCACTTTAATAAATGTTTGCTGACTCTTTGAACATCTCTTTCCAATGCTTAACATGCATGAAATCTTGGTGTCTGCATTACTGTCTTCTAAGAGACAAATTATAAATGCTTTCTGATTAGTCTCACCATTCATAGTCCATTCCTAAATCAGCACAGGAAACAGCTAAGCTAAAACTTCTCCCTCTTTCTTCCTCTCCAAGCTGTCTCTATCTTACTCTTTCTTCCTGCAAGTTTTTTCTTAAGCAAAGTCTAGACAGTTTTTTTTTTTTTAAAGCAAAACAAAACAAAACACAACTGTGCTAGAAATAATTTGTCATTGAGGATTCTCTCTCTCTCTCTCTCTCTATTTTTATTTTTGGCTGAACTGCATTGCCTTGAGAGCTGTGACCAAGGAAGGCTACTGTTCCAATTGGTGAGATGTCAAAAGATCCAGGTGGCTCCACTAAGTTAGATAAAGGATATTGTGGATTCTATTTTAATCAGAATATATTTTCCACATTTAGTATGAGAGGACTTCTCTGTATTTATGCTGCTTTGAAGGCCGAATAAACCACATATATATGTATATATTTGGGACACGTGGAAACAAACACACGAGACTAAAGGCCACTTTCATATCGTGTCTCTCTTACCCTTCTCTCCAAAGTGAACAGCATGCATAGGTATTGTCACTGCCTTTGTTCAGGCTTCTTCATCTTTTGCTGAGACCATTGCAGTAGCCTCTTCACTGGTCCCTGTCCTCCAGCCTTTCCCAATATAATCCACCCTCCATAACAGCAACACTAGTGGAGCCCCTGAGTAGTGCAAATGGTTAAGCACTCAGCTGCTAACTGAAAGGTGTCTGGCGTACCTGGGAAGAAAGGCCTGGTGATCTACTTCCTAAAAATAAGCCATTGAAAACCCTACAGGGTACAGTTCTACTCTGACACACATGGGGTCACCATGGTAAGAAATGACTCCATGGCAACATATTTATTTATTTTTGAATAACCTTTCTAAAATGAACATCTGATCATGTTCCTCACCTTGGTTGAATAATATATCCACCTTGCTTCTTGGTTGTTGTTGTTGTTGTTGTTATGTGCCATTGAGACGGACCTGACTCATAGCGACCCCTTCTTGGGTTTCTGAGGCAGTATCACTATGGAAGTAGATTGCCCCATCTTCCTTCTAAGGAGTGGCTGGTGGGTTTGAACTGCCAGCCTTCTGGTTAGCAGTCAAGTGCCTTAAGCACTATGCTTCTTGGTGACCCCCCAAAAAGTTAACTCCATGAAAGACTGATAGTGCCAGGCACTGAACTGAAGGCTTTATATGCCTTTTCTCAACACCCCTATCTCCATTACATCCACCATTGTAAAGATGAGGAAACTGAATCTTACAGAGTTCAGATTAACTTGTCCAGGGCAGCAAAGCTGGAGTAGAAACCTAGGCAGTCTGCCTGTAGTGGGCTATAACCATTATGCAACAGTGCCTTCATCACATTGCTCATTGGAGGTGCCCACAGCAATGGTAAAGCTCATTGTCAAGCAAAAGGAAATGCCATCCCATGCCTCCTCCTCCAGCTCTGCACAAGAATATGTTTTCTCCTGCAGGTTTAATGCCACCAAATGCCTGTGCAGATCTGGGTCCTGAATAGCAGGCCCTCATCTCAGGGCCCTTGCCCTCAAGCAGTGGGGTCTGACAGAACTCATGTTGTCTTAAACCCTGTCTCTTGTGTAAGAAGAGTAGCTTTGGGCTCTTGAGCTGGCTGCCTCCAACTTCCCATCATATGCCAGAGTTTCTGGCTCTTTCTGAGCATCAACCTTACCTGGAACTCCACATTCGTGAGGGAGTACTATTCAACTATGTTGTCTTGACTCCTTCTATCATGGACTGGACTTTGAACCCCACTCCAGGTTGCTGCCCAACCCCCCCTCTGAATCAGAGCAATTGCTGGGAGCATGGAGTTCTCTCTCCTCCATCTGCCCATCTGTAGAGTTTTCTTGATGAGAACACTTTTTGTTTGGGCTTTCTCCTATGCGTGAAGAATTCTTGAGTGAGCAATGCCAAGTGAAACACAGCACTCAAGGTTTTCCCCTGACAGACTTCATAGATCTCCTCTGCCTGGACCCTGTTCTCTGTCTGCCTATCTGGCTGAGATCAGCCATGCTCTGTCTTCCCAGCCACATGTGACAGGGAGGCTGAAAGAAAGCTCTCAGCTTGGCATGTGGACCCAAAGCTGGAAACATCAAAGATCATTTGACAATGAATTCCAAGGAGGGTAATAGCTTCTTTCCCTCTGTGTCCCCAAAGCCAGCATCTCAGGGCATCCCAGAAGGGTACCTACAGGATATAATGTTCCCGTATCGATTCTTATTGCGGTTTTCATCTTCCTTGGCTGTGTCCCATGAAGCTGTCTGCCCCTCTGGTAAAGCCTGGAAAGCAAGGAAAGAAGTGATTAGTGTGGCCTGAAATAGAAGCTTTATCCAAGTGTACATGAACCAACCAAGGGATGATGGGACTCTCAGAATAAAGGCCCATAGAACATAGACCCAGCCCCTCCATAGACTTATTCACTCATTCATTGACTCAAATGTCATTGATGTTTTATGAGTGTAATGAGCTCAAAGTCTGGCCAAGTAGGGGAGTCTTCATTCATTCATCCATTCAACAGATATTTATTGAGTCCCTAAAATGTGCTGTTAAAGCATTCACTGCTAACCAAAAGTTGGGAGTTTGAACCCACCAGCCACTCTATTGGAGAAAGATGAGACATTCTGCTTCTGTAAAGATTTACAGGGTCACTATGAGTCAGAATCAATTTAATTGCAGTGGGTTTGGATTGTAAATGTGCTGTGCCCTGTTGTAGGTACTAGGGATAGAGATAGCAAGATAAGCAAGGTCCCCAGTGAGCTTCCAGAAGAGTGGGAGAAGATGCAGCAAATAAGCAAACATAAGTAATTTTAAGTAATGAAAAATGCTATGAAGAAAATAAAGCAAGGTAAAGAGATAGTGATGGGAGATGAGAATTGTTTCAGATCACATGATCTTGGGTGGCTTCCCTGAGCAAGTATCAGTTAAGTTAATATTTGAATGATGGGAAAGCCAGTCATGCCAAGGAAAGTAGAAAGTGCTTTCCAGGCAGAGGGAATAGTAGATATAAAGGCCATCATCAATCAGCAATCAAATGACCATATTTAAGGACTAATGTGAGCCAGGAGGAGAGTGAAGATGGACCATCTGGAGAGCTGGGAGTGATCTGATAAGAAAAGGAATTTTGATCATTAATAAGGAGTTGGGTAGTATTCCAAATGTGATGGGAAACCACTGGAAGGTTTTAAGCAGGGGAGTCATCTGATCTGATTTATGTTTTATAAAGATCATTCTAGCACAAGTATGAATTACAGGCTCAAAGAGGACCAATGAGGAAGAAGGAAGACCGGTTAGGAAAGAGATGGTGGTACCTTGGACCCTTGGACCAGGGTGTTGGCAGTGGAGGTGGTGAGAAGTGGTTATATTCAGGGTAAATGGTTGAGTATTGTCTTAATTTGGGTTCCCCCAGAAGCAGACTCCGAAACAAGGATTTGAGTACAAGTAGTTTATTTGGGAATCAGTCCTGAGGAGCATGGGTAGAAGAGTAGGGAGAGCAAGACAATCAAGGGAAGAAGTCAAAGTAGGGCACATTAATGAGCAAGTTACCCCCACGTGCAACTGGCGCTTAACACATGGGCACATTGGTGCCTCAGAATTTTCCCTCTGGAAGGGTGAGGAGTTGGGATATTTTCCCACCAATTCTCATTCTTTCTTGGTTAAGGGCAACTCCAGGAAACCACAGGGAGCACTCCTTTAGCTTGAAGAAGTCCTCAAATGTCACAGGTACTTTCAGAAGAAGCATGGGGATAGAGAGTCGATAGGGAATACAGGCAGGTTACCATTGGTGTCTACTTCAGATATGGCTTAAGAATGAAAGCTGACCCCCAGATTTTGAGTTGAAGAACTGAGTGGAAAGAGGGATGCCACTTACTGAGACAGGGGGAGAAACAGGACTGTGGAGGCAGAAATTAAGTGTTGTGTTTTGGATATGTAAAATGCTTAGATTAGCACCTAGCACTAATTGAGTGCTCTGTACTTCTTATGCTCACCATAATGATAATAACAATTATAATAACAGCTAAGGTTGAGATGCCTCCAAGTTGAGATGCTGAGTAGGAAGTTGGACTTATGGGTCCAGAGCTTGTGGGGACAGGGAAGAGATGAGAATCATCAGTTTAAGAGGAAGGCAGCCAAAGATAAGACAGGCGAGTAAACAAACATGTGGAATGATTTAACAGAGTTATGAGCCAAGTGTTGAGGAAGCACAAGGGAGGGTGCAGTCAGTTATTTCACAGAGAGGAGGGTGGGCATTTGAGAGTGGGAGCAGCACTAGAAAAGCTGCAGAAACATGAAGGTCAGGCCACATTTGGATTACTCTCTCCATCCTGCCTCTGGTATAATAGCCCTGTTCTTGCACTGCTTCCAAGATGACATTTGCAACACCTTCAGTCTACCCAGCTCCTTTTCAACAATGCAGGTGGGAGGAGCTTTCATTTATCTTAATACATCATCCACCCCTTACCAAGTCCAGCCTAAGTGAGGAGGAATCTCTAACCTGATTAGTAACCAGTTGAGCCATTGAGTGGCCATGTTTCACTGGCAGGAAGGACCACTGTCTATTTAAAGGCCAGACCCATGTGTGATGTCCTCTTTCTTGCTTCCAGTCTTCCATGTGTGAAACCTACCTGGGAGGGTCCTCTCCTAGAACAGGGGTCTGCAAACTTTTTCTGTAAATAGCCAGATGGTAAATATTTTAGGCTTTGTGGACCAGACAGTCTCATTTGTACTCATTTGTACTGTTGTAGTATGAGATTGGAAGGAAAGTTGGGCAATCTACTTCAGTAGTCATACTGCCTTGGAAACCCAAGGAGGGGTTGCTATGAGTCAGGTCTGACTCAATGACACACAACAGCAACAACAGTATGAGACTGGCCACAGACAACAAGCAAACAAATGAATAAAGCTTTGTTCCAATAAAACTTTATTTACAAAAACAAGGACTCGGCCTACAGCTATAGTTTCTCAACTTTTGTTCTAGAACAGTGGCCATCATCCTCATCTATGCAGTGGTTGAGCAGGTAGAATTGGTGCAGTGGCAGTGAGTTCGTTCGTTCGTTTGTTCGTTCGTGCTGGCCTAGCACAAGGATTCAATGCAGAGGGAGTGAGAAGGCCTTGCCTGGGCTTCCATCTCCCACTTAGCTTTTCCTGGGGCTTTAGATTGGCACGATAAGGTGTCTTCCTGGTATTAATGATCAGAATTGTGTTGTAGATAGGGATTTAGACAGGTTTTAGGCATTGGGTTCCAATCTGTGCCCTAAATCTGAGTGTGACCAAAGTGCTATCGGTATAGGGAAGTGATCATTTCATACATGTAGGGCTTGCCTCTCACTCTTCTCCTTTCCTCCTCCTCTTCTTCTTTCTCTGCTCATTATAAATGACCTTCACCGTGCATCCCTCTTGCCACCAGTTTAGGCCATCATTAGACCATAAATGGTTCTTGCTTTTTCATGTGACTCTTAGAATTCAGATGTCAGCCCCTGGCCTCATCCTCCCACTCCAGTCAGGTAGCTCAGTCCTTGCAGGCAGCTTTCCAGGTGTATATATCCTTGATTCTCTGAGGTGGGATGGAGGTTATCTAAGTGGTGTCATGGGATTTATCAATGAATGATAAGCTGATGTTCTGTGGTGTTTTGTCTACCCCAAACCCTCTCTATGAAAAAGGCGGCTTCTTATCCAAACATACCCAACAAAAGTGGTGTGAAGCCAAGGTCAGGCACCCTAAGTGTTTTCAGGCTAGTAATTTGAAAACATTATCTGTTGATTATGTGCCAGGGTTTGAGTTACTTAATTAGCTTAACGTTGTCATTACAGCTGCACACTAGACTCACCTGGGGAGGCTTTCAATCACCCAAAGCCAAGGCCACATCTCAGACCAATTAAATAGGTCTCCAGTGATGGGACACAGGCATCAGCATTTCCAAAAGTCTCAAAGTGATTCCAGTGTGCAGCCATGATTCTTGCAACGCAGCGAATTTACCTGGAGAAATACTTTCCCACGAGCCTCCTCACTGGTCTCTCTTGCCTTGGTTTTGTCCCCTCCAATCTACTCTCCACTGTAATCAGGGAGATCTTTCTAAAATGTGAATAGGACCCAGTTACTCTCCTCATCATTGTCTTCAGGATAAATTCCAAACTCTTTGATACAAGGGCCATAATGGTTCTGCTCCAAATGTTCCTCTGGACTCATGTCTTGCCCTTACAGCTATAATTCAAGTGTAAGAAACTGCAGCACCACAGACAATGTCAGGTATTTCAGCGTCTGAGACTATGCATGCTATTCTCTCTGCTGGAAATTCTCTTTTGTCTAGTCTGGCTGGCAAACTGCTACTTATCCTTCAAAACCCAGTACAAGCATCTTCTCTTCTATGAAACCTGTGCTCACCCTCTCACCACCACACTGCATCCCCCATTACAGTCAGTCACTTCCTTTCTTATTACACCAACTTTTCTACATCTAAGAATTTGAATGGCTGTCTCCCAACTCAGCCCTAGGTTCCTGTGGCGAGAGTAATAGCATCTTATTCACACTTGTATTTCTAGAACCCCGCTCTGGCTTTGTACTTCATACATGCTTGATCATATATTTTGAATGAATGCATGCATGGATGGATGAAATAATGAATGAGGTGGCTTCTGTACATACAGAAGCCAAAGATCCTGGAGTCTCAGAGGTAGAAGTGTCATCCAAATCTTCTAGTTCCCTATTCTTTCTTACTATGACCTTCCAGACAGTTGATGAGCCAGTCCATAGCATCTATCATGTGGATACCCTCAGTGACAGAGAGCTCACTACCCCACAAACCTTCCTGCCTCATTTCTGGACAGGCTCACTGGACATTTGTTTCTTTACTTCAACTTCCTGTTCTTTGCCTTCCCCTGTCCCATGGAGTCCCATAGAGTGGCATGTACTCTCTGTCCTATGACACTGCTGAGCTGTGGCTAAGGTCCTTGTTACCCCTAGAGTCCTTAAATGGCAGAGTTTGAGGGACTCTCAACATCAAGGCCATATCCTCCAGGACATACTTCAGTGTTCAAATATTTCTTGAAAATCCTAAACTAAACAAAAAGGGCCGATTCCAGGAAACCATGTAGACCCCTGTCTCAGCCCTGCGAGCCTCTGTCTCCCCCTAGTGGGAGCTAGAGGAGGCCACGTGGGCTTGGGATGATGTTGACAAAGGCAGAGGAGGCAACAGCCTGAAGAGGCACCCAGGAGTGAGCAGTAATGACTCCCTAATCGGCAGCCTTTGATCACACATCCATTTCCCCTTCGAGGGAGATGAAA